CATTATTTTTGTGCGTTTCATCTTAGTGTCAAAAGATTATCCAAAACACAATTATCTACTTATGAGTAGTATAATGTATCACAACAAATTAACTCTATTATAAACTGTTTAAAAGAAATCGAAGGCATATATATATATATATATATATATATATATATATATATGACGATTTTTACTGAATGAATTTCAAAGGGTAGATATGCTCACCAATTATATTAATTACCAGTGCCGCTACACACACATATATCGCGAACTAGTAGAAGTTAGAATTCATGAACTTAGTGGCTGAATAATCTGCCCTGTCACAGCCTCCCCTCGACGAGCATTATTAACTGATACAGGATTAGGTTGGGGAAGAGTTAGGCGGCGGTCAAACCGAAACCTGGCGTCTTTGACAATCGATATGAGCTACGTGGGCAGACGTAGAATATTTGGCTGCAGGGGGATCCTTAGGATGTTAAGAACCAATGACTAGAGACTATTTAGTGATATCGCTCAAAACGTTTTTTTCTACCTTTTGTGTTAAGTTGAATGCGGTAAATTGAATTACTGCACATCTGTGCAAAGTTCTGTGATGAAACTGAGTCGGGTTAACCTAGTAACCTGTTGGCTCTGAATTCAATTCCCACTGCAGTCATAGCTGCATCTCTCTGTCTGTCTAGTTTCAACGTAGAACTTTGCACAAATGTGCAGCTGTTCGAGTCGCCACACTTCACTAGGGAAGAAATTAAAAAGAAATGCAAAACAGAGACAGTAAACAGAGATATGAGGTAAACAGAACAGCAATATCGAAGAACAATGTGGTTTTATAGGAAATTATAAGTCACAAGGAGTGGATGCATCTGAGCCAGCCATTGACAACGACGATTTTTAGCCATATCATCAATTGTCTCCAGCCTTCAACAGTTTTACCTCCCCGAGGACCCCAACCAGTCAGGAAGTCTACATCATAGCTGCATACTTCCTAAAAGTAGGAAACATGAGCAAAACAGCTATCTGGTACTCCTTAGTCTCCTGTGATTCTTTAACTGATGTTGTCTCGTGACACAATATACATTGGAGACGTGATATGCCTATTATACCTGTGTAAAAGTTAATCTCTCTCTTAACTAACCAATAAAACAATATTCAATTATAAAGCAGCAATAATGCAACAGCAAGCCATAAGAAGGTGTATTATATAAAAATTACTGAAGAAAAACAGAAGACACTGCAGCCCTTCAACCTTAAAGAGAATAAAGGAAAGACACTTCATTCGCCGAAGTCATCCCATGAAACGACTTGGAAAATCATCCTAATCAACATGGAAAATGTCTCCGAAAGTACTGCTAGAATTCTGAAACCTCGTAAACCAACACAGTTTCTTTATTTCATACATTTATTCCCCTTAATGAATTTGAACAAAGCAAGAACCACAGTCTTAGCAGAATAAAATGCTACCATGTTTTATTTCGTTGCCTTCTCGTCAGCTGCTTACAGGGCAAAGACATTATTAACTATATCTACAAAAACAATTTTAACATACCTGCACAGAGTTCATTTTAAACAAAAATCAATCGATTAATATACGCATACACTAATAATATATATATATATATATATATATGTAATATTAAACACTATTCCGAACAATAATCATCATACACAATGAAAACTTTTCAGCATTTCGCATTCAGATGAAAAATATCTAGTTACCAAGGCAAAGAAAGACTGATAACCGCTTCTTTCTGAACGCATAAATCAGGTTTCAGGCGCTTGATGGAAATGGCTTCAGCTATAGCCTATCCTACAGCTAAGCTCGTTCCCGTCTATCGAACAACTTGCTCTTTGGTGCTATAAAAAATCGATAGATATCCTTCTCATGTTGATATTGACGTAAATGGCTGTCTAGCAATTTTGGCTAGCAGACAGCTTTCACCACAATAGGACATCGTAAACAAAAAATCTTAGACAGAAGAAATACAAAACAATTTCAGCGAACCCCACTAAAAGTCTGACACTTAAACCAATCTTCGACTAATACACATGTGGATGTAAATCAACCAGTTGAATATGCTTCACAAGGGATAAAAAGTCAAAACATCAGATTAACCAGAAGAACAATATCAATACATATGAATAAAATTATAAGGAAACCTACGAGGACAGTCAATTGCTATTAAGTGAGAATAAAGGTATTTGAGTGTCAATTTAACAAGTGTGAAGAGGGTGTGAAAATATACAAAAGGAGCATATGAGAGTGATAATAGTGAATTAATTATTAAAGTAAAAGCAAACTAAAAATAAAATTAAAAATAAGAAAACTAAATTTTTTTACAGGAAACGACTAGTGAAGAGGTTAAAACCAACGTAGAATAAGAGACTGGACAATTTTTTTGTGTATGCAGATTTCGGGATTGTATTGATGAACTGCCAACGCCTCCGCCAAACACAAAAGCCGAAACCTGACGCCCTTTGTACCATTTGGCCTCACCTTGTAGATAATCTTGAAAGACGACTCTGGTGGAACTACGTGGCTTGAGTTCACCAAGTGCTCGAGAATTGAGCTAGTAATTGTCTTACATTGTCCCTTTGCTAACCAACTATGCCGGATAATGTTCAGAGATGCGTTTGGAAAGCGTGAGCTTTGTGCGCCCAATATAACTACCTCCGCAGGAGCAGCAGGTGAATTTATAAACACACATCGAGGTGGCCCGTTCAAAGCGGCAGTTTATCCTTCACACATCCATTGATCATTTGTCGGCTGTAGAAATTGATCCTTAGCTCAACCGTGAAGAAGGCTTTCCTCAGTGATCTGCATAAGCGATTCTTCAGGATCTCAGCTGAGGTATCACCTTTAAATTCAACACTCATTAAGTGGCAGTTTCTTCGGCACCGTCTGGATTCTTTCAGGCTTTTCCCTTAGCTTCATGGTTTTTCTCGATAAATCTTGGAGGATATCCATTATCTATCTATGAGGACTTGTCTGAGTCGCCCCAGTCAATTACAGTGACAATCGCCAGGAGAGATACACATTTCACCTAATAGGAACTCTCAAAGCTCATTTTACACAGCGAGTAGCACTGAAAATGTTATCCAGCAAGATACTCGATGCTTTGCAACTAAACTACCCAAAATAATCGAGCAAAGAATATTCTTTTCGATAAATTCCTCTTCTAACTCTACAATTATATGCATATGTTTATATACACCGAATATTTTAAATTAGTAGTTAATAACAATATTAGCGTTTTTTTAAATAATACCGATTTGTAAAGTTTGATCAATGCAATTATAGTTCATTAAAGATGCTTTAATAATAATAATAATAATAAAGATATGGTAGCAAATAGAATATCAACTAAAATTAGGAAAATTCCACAAAAATTCCGGATTATTCAAACCTGGATGGCCAAGGTAGTGATAATGACTGAACTAACTTCTTTTGGGTGCACAAATTAGGCTTATTAATATGAATCCCCACAGCCTCAGCAATATTTAGAAGTCGAACTCTTAAAGCGAAATTGAGATTCGTAGGTATGCGGTAAATGACCCTGAAAGCATGATTAACGTCAATCTTATGTTCTGTCTCCACAAGATGCGCCAGAATAGCGCTGCGAATAGATTTTGTTTGTCCTTTGCTTAACCAGGCAGGGTGATGTTCAGAAATTCGTCGAGAAACACGCCTAATTGTACGACCTATGTAACTGGCTCCACAGGAGCAGTTAAATTGGTATATACACATGGAAGAGGCGAAATTAGGCAGTTTGTCTTTTATTCCCGAACGCAGAAGAGAGGTGGTTTTAAAGATACAGCGTAATTGAGCAGCAGGGAATGCTCTTTTTACCGCATTTCTAAGGCGATGTGTTAGTATCTCACTTGTATTGTCTCCTACGAACTGCATCTGTAAGAACAAGGCTTTCTTTGGAACTGTTGGTAACTTGGACTGTTTTGGTTTTAGATTCATATTCTTATCAATAAACTTTTCAGGATAACCATTCTCACTTAGCAACCGTTTAATATTGTTAAGCTCCTCGTCAAGACATTCATCCGAGCAAATCTCTCTTGCTCTGTGGACCAAGCACTTTATTAGATTGCGTTTGTATTTCAAGGGCACAAAGCTGAGAAAATGTGTGTACTGGCCCGTTGATGTAGGTTTTCTATAAACACTTCTTATTGTGCCATCCTCTTTTCTGGTCATAAGGACGTCTAGAAATGAAATACTAGAGTCTTTTTCTTTCTCAATAGTAAAATTTATTGCAGGATGTACCTCATTAAATTTGTCCAGGATGTTCTTTGCCTCCTTTTCGTTCTTCATAATCAAAAAAGTATCATCAATGTATCGACAATAAAATTCGAGTTCATTAATAAGATCTTTCAAAGGCCCATTTTCTAGTTTCGCCAGGAAAATGTCGGCTAGAATGGGTCCTAGTGGCGACCCCATTGCCACACCGTCGATTTATCTATACAGTTCCTTATTAAATAAAAAGTGGACATTCATTGTACATTTCAAGAGAAGCTCCTTCATGAAAGATATAGGAATGCCAACCTCGATGTTTCGTCTTTTAAGTTCTTCACATTTAAAGTCCACTGTTTCCATGAGAGGTACATGGGTGAATAAAGAAGATACATCAAATGATATCATGAATTTATTATCAACATTTAAATCTCTTATCCTTTCAACGAATCCAAATGTATCCTTTACACTAACTACTAATTTAAAATATTCGGTGTATATAAACGTATGCATACAATTGTAGAGCCTAGAAGAGGAATTTATCGAAAAGAATATTCTTTGCTCGATTATTTTGTGTTTTATAGATGTCTGAATGAATATTTTTGCAATATTAAACTACCCAACTCAAACAATACAATAACACTAGGGAAAAATAAGGTATATACGGTCCATCAAGAAAAGCCTAATCAATCCACAGACAATACAATAGATCGATGAAAACATGGCGAAAAAAGTGGGATGGTGGACGTGGGGAAATCAAAGTTAACAACAGAAAACTACTCACCGTTAATTTCATCTTCATGCTGACATCGTACAGCAATCCTGGAATGCTTCACTAATGACGATGATGATGACGATAACGATGTGTATGACACCACCGGTGATAACAATAACGATAATAATCGGATGAATATTAGAAATCCGGCTAACCAAATCACATGAAATTCATTGATGAAAATTAAGATAACACAAAAGGGTAAGACTGTTAAACAAGTTACAGTCCATTGTGTGTATGCATTGAGTAAAGTTCTGTCATGCATAAATTTATCATAACCAGATGTCATCGGATTGATTGACTCGTATAGATGGCATATTGACGATGAGAATTTCAGGAATTGACAAAATGTACAGGATATTATTATCAATAGAATACGTGCAATCCAAACACGTACTGTATGCCTATATAGAAAAAAAGAAATAAAAAAGAATACAGTAAAACTAGAACTGGTGATGTCACACAAAATCGAAGACTTACAAGCGAAAAACGACAAACTGGTCGAAGAAGCAGCAAAGACAGGACTCCTGGTGAATATATACAAGACGTAGGTCATGAAAATAAACAACCAGCCAACAACAACAACAATAGCAACATCCAGCGTCAAATCGAGAATCGGGAAGGCGAGAAACACATTCATCAACCTGAAACCAATCTCGAAATCTTCATCACTCCTCAACATCAACAACAAAATTCGGATTTTCAATACAAACATCAAGTCAGTCAGTTCTTCTATACGGATCAGAAACTTGGCCAGTGTGTCACAAAGAATATTTCCAACAGCCTGTTGCACACCTTTATCAACAACTGTCTTCTGGCTCTATAGTGAAGATCAGATGGCCGGAAAGAATCACAAACAAGAAACTATGGGAACAAACAAAACAAGAACCAATCGCCCAAGAAATATGCAGGAGAAAGTGGAGATGGATTGGACACTCGCTGAGGAGGCCGCTGGGTGACATTGCACGTCAGGCCATTGCTCGAGTGGAACCCGAAAGGGAAGCGGCGAGTGGGACGTTCAAGGGTGACATGGAGGAGGTCGTGTGAAGAGGAGTTGAAACAGTATGGAACAACATGGATGCAGATGAAAAGTACAGCAGAAGACAGAAGCAAGTGGAGACGTGCAGTTGAAGCCCTATGTTCCACTAGGAACCCAAGGGAACAATAATAATAATAGAACTGATGGCAAATGGTTGAAGGTTATAGACAGGGAGCTTTACAGATCTAGGACTGGTGTCCCTTCGGAGACTCAAACCTTGTGTCACTACACCTCAGTGCAGCAGTCAGATAGATATATTGACCTCTTGACGTCTTATAGAACTCTAATAAATCCATTGACTCGTCGTCAATGAGGAGTAATCAATGCCACATATATCTATTCAATAATTTAATAATTCCCATTGTAGCATTAAGAACACAATATTCAGCGAAGAGACTCTTTTCAACGTACAATCTTATATGTATATGGTTTTCCTTAAGAAATTATATCCGGTGAGGGAATTAGATCAAAGGTGTGAATACATGAAATAATAATAATATTAGTGGTATGAAATGCAATTAAAATATTTGTGATTATAATCATTGTTGAATGTCAAGTGGCAGAACAATTAATGTCATATACAGAATAATACATAAGACGCGTGTATAGATGTTGGAAATGGGTGCACAATTATAGGGTTAGTAGGCTAATACAAAGTGTTACATAACATGGTGTGAAATTTGATAAGATAGAATTCAATATTGTAAAAACAAAAAATTTATAAATTAATAATTTTGGGTTTAGAATGACAAGTGGAGCAAGGTACATTGACCGTAGCCAGAGGACGCTTTTCACTCGGATACGAGAACATATTCCAGCTGCATGGTTTTACAAGGGAGAAAGGAAGTGTGTGCGAAGCTCTATTCTAGAGCACCTGATCGACTCCTGTCACTCTGCCAAACCTGACCATGATTTTAAGATCATCTACCGAATCCATGTTAACTTGCTGGCCGCGTTTTCTTCCTGATAAACTTCTAAAGATAGCGGAGGCCTTGGTCATTCATGAATTTAAGTCAGCACATCTTTGTGTACAAAAGAAGTATGTACAATCCCTACTTCTGCCTTGGCCGTAGAGGGATAGACATTTATTTAATTTTCGTTTATTTAGTTATTCTGTGTACCTTTCCCTTATTACTACGTTATTATTATTATTACTAATCTCACTCTGAATTGTTTCCATTTGTCCCACCTGTCATTCTAAATCGAAAAAGCACTTTTTTACAATGTTGAATTCTATCTTATCAAATTTCACACCATGTTATGTAACACTTTGTATTAGCCTACTAACCCTATAATTGTGCACCCCTTTCCAATATCTATACACCTTATGAATTATTCTATTTTGATGTGGTTGTGTTCTCTGAGCTGGATAGTTAATTTGAGAAGCTTTCATTTCCCTACTTGCTAGGTAACGTCTTCAGTGCATACTTCAATTTGAAGTAAGCTTTTAGATTTCTCCACGAGTTTATTAATCATCTCTCCTGGTGACCTTGGTTGTGATTGCTGGTTTTTGTGTGTTTTCACACCTTCTAGGTTACTTGTATTGTAATTCATTGTTTCTTTGACTTGAACTTTGACCCTTTGTGTGTGAGGTTTCTTTCTTATCGATTGATAAATTTTGTCTATTTCGATGTGTCTATTGATTGATGATTCACTGGAATGCCAAGCTTCTAAAAATTCTCTAGCATTCTTGTTGTTTCCTCTGTCTAATATTTGAACGTTGGTTGTCCCAGTCGAATTGATGTCCGTGGTTGTCTGTATGTAGTGATATGAGGGAGTGGATATCATGTCTTTTGACGGCTAGCTTATGTTCGTGGATACGAAGATGAAGGGGACGTCGTCCACTTTGGCCAATGTAGTGTTTTTTGCAGTTGATACAATTTATTTTGTAGATGATGTTGGTTTTATCTTCTTTCGCTGTTGAGTCTTTTGGTTGACATAGAATTGAGTGAAGTGACTTTGTTGGTTTGTGTACGACGTCAATTCCTGAAGGTGTTTGAAGAGTCTTGTAGTGATTTCTGAGATATCCTTTATATATGGTAAGGCGATTTTCTTTGTGCTTTCCTTGGGGGCTTTTGGTTTGATAGGTTGGCTTGAGGGTATATGTCTTTTGATGAAATTCCGTGGATATCCATCCTTTTGGAAGACGTCCATGAGATATCTTTCTTCAATTTTCCTTAAGGTGGGAGTGCTGCAATGATTCCTGGCTGGTCTTCTTGAATAGTGTTTGTATGCAATTCCTCTTGTGTGCTATTGGATTGTTGCTGTTGTAATTCAGGATTTGGTCTGTGTGAGTTGATTTTCTATAGACTTATTCTATTATTCTATATATGACATGAATTGTTTTGCTACTTGACATTTTACTATGATTATAACCACACATATTCTAACTGCATTTCATACTATTATTATTTCATGTGTTCACACCTTTGACCTAATTCCCTCACCGGATATAATTTCTTAAAAAAAACCGTATACATATATATATATATACGATTGCACAGCTTGATAATAAATTCGTTGTTGAAAAGAGTCTCTTCGCTGAATATTGTCTTCTTAATGTATCTATCCTCTGATTTTGGGTGTTGACTGAGTAAACTGCAATGGTGAAACACTCAGTGCTTGCTTCAAACTTGCTTCACTGATAGAATATGGTCAGTAATAACGTCAAGGACTAGAGACATGACATTGGTTACTCCCCAGTAACTGATCCATGTAAAAGTAGGATTGATCGTAAAATTATACTTAACTAAAGATGTTGAATGAGGTGGGAGAGAAGACAGAGGTGATGAAGTTACGCGGCCAACAACAACAACTGCCTTTGCTGCATACTCGACATTAGATGGTCAAAAAAAAGGAAAAGCAACGCGGAACTCTGGGAACGAAGCAACCAAGTACCTATTGTCCAACAAACAAGCTGAAAGAAACGGAGATGGATCGGACCGTTAAATGACATCACTCACCAGGAATAAAAAAACACTGAGTTGGACGTCCGAGAGTGACATGGAGGAGATCAGAGCTAATGAGCAATCATGGAACCAGATAAAGGGGTCTGAAGAGAATACGATTAAGTGGAGTTGTGCTGCTGAAGCCCTGTGTTCCACCCGTAACCCAGGGGAACAATAATATAATAACCAACAACAATAAGCTCCTATCATAATCAGTCATTCCTTTCCAGTTACTTATATAAGTAGTATCATTTCAAGTACAGGCGATACGGATGCGGATATCAAAGCCAGGAGGTAAAAAATGCCATTATCATTTGTGAAATCAATGTGGAGATCCACAGCACTTGACACGCATGAATTTTCCAACACTAATGTCAAGTCAGTGCTTTTATATGCTTTGGAGATTTGGTGCGCACGTCATCAAAAGCATTTTCGAGTAGACTTTCATCAACAGTTTCTCAATTCGCACTCACATACGATTTGGCAAAGCCGAGGGTGAGTAGACTTCAGTCTTCCCTCGAAATGCTTTCGTGTAGCCACACGTTCACAGCCTCTGCTACATAATTCCCAATTTACTGCCTTCACGCGGTGGGGGTGTTTTTTACAAGAGTCAAAGGGCGAAAACCAATGTCTTGTACCTACAACCGGTCTTGTGGACATGTTGATCTACCAAGGGGATCTAGAAAACCACCTTAATTCCAAACCTATGGTGTACATGGGCTGCAAAATCCGAAAGCATCGGATGGCGTATGAACCTGTTTTGCTGACCGAAAACTATACGAACGTAGCTTCACATGTGGTGAGAGCTGTCTGTTAGCTAAAATTGGTAGACAGCCACTGACGTCAATGTTTACGTCCCAAATCTTGGTCATGAGAATAAAAACAAGAACAAAGACTAACTCAACAATCAATCACAGCAGACTTAGCGTGGGAGGATAGGATTAGCAGATATATATCACCGAACTGTCTCACAAACGGCAACAAAGAGATGACAGAATAACCTTCAGTAGGACAACAACCAATCAGAAGACACTGTTTCTCTCCTAACAATAACGGATAATAATGTACATAAAAATACATAAATATCTGTCGATTTTCTCAATAAACGATCTGTTGCCTGGCCCTTACCTTCTGTTGTTACACACACGCTGATCCACTCACTAACTTGTAGTTTATACTTCTAGTCAAGTGCTCGAGGGATAGTCCCTCAAGACAATCGCCTGCTTCACTCTAGGTGTTCAAGCAGTATCCTAGCCCTCTCAAAAACTATGAGTTTTTGCATGGAGCATCTCTTTGTGCCCATTGTGTATTAGGTTGTGTTTTAATATATAACAATAGTACTGGAGACAAGCCAGCCAGAAAGGATTAGCAACGACAAAAATTCTAGCAACAAACCAGTCAAGAACCCATCCCCTAA